TTTTTTTTGGTGTTGGGGAAACGAAAAGGGCGGGCGGCCGGAGGGGGGGGTTGGGATTTTTTGCCCGGGGTTGGTCCACCATGTATTGCTGAAAGCGTTTCATTCAAAGTGTTTCGGGGGTGTAGGGCCCCGCGTTAATTTTCCCTCCCCCTTCCCCGGTTTGGGGGGGAGGCGAATTAAAACTCGGGCCATTTTGGTTTGGCCACACAAAACCCAGGGAGGAGGCCCTTTTTTTGTTTCTCCTTTGGAATGTAATACCCGGGGCGGGGGAGGAAAACCCGGGGTTATTCCTCCCTCCCCGCCATTTTTGAGGGGAGGAAAGTTCCAGGTCCCTTGGATTCGGCCAGGGTTTAACAGGACCCCCCCCCCCCCCCCGCGCCTCGCCGCCGACAGGTAGAAAGCACGAGCTTCACCACTCCCGAGGGCCCCCCCTGCGCGTACCTGGGCTGCCCCCACCCCCAGGCGTTCCTAGATGCCTCCGTGGGAGCGACGGTGGCGCCGGTGTGGCACCTCGGTCCTTGCGCCCTGGTGACGGAGTTCGTGGACGTGGCCCCGCTGATGTTCGCGCTGGGGCCCGAGTACACCGGGGTCTGGACGGCGGAGAGCCCGCTGGAGGCGATCTCGAGCGCGAACGCGGCGGGGGCCCTGCGGCGGCTGCAGGTGTGTGTGTGTGTGTGTGTGTTTTGTTTTTGGATTTGGATCAGTCGATTCTTGTGATCCTGCGGAGCCCCCCGGTCCTCGTGATGAAATAAATCGGTGTGATTCTGCGGAGCCCCCCTGCCCTACAGAAATACTCGGGTAACGTGACGGTCGTCATTCTGCGGAATAGGAGACAATGAGAATTTGTTGTCGAACTTGTACATTGTGGCAGGAATTTAGAGAGAGAGCGCCGGTATTTCGGCGGTGTTTAGAAATCGGAACGGTGTCTCGCCTCACGAAACGATGCATGGTCAATTACCTGCAAACATGGGTGCCTCCCCCGCTGCCTCCAGGCACTTGGCGGCGCGGCTGGATTCGGTGCCCTCGGGGGCGACGTCCCGCACGCTCTCCATCGCCGCGTCCTCCGGGAGCTAGATCGGTGCTTCAACGTGACGGAACGGGCCTACTACTGGAACCGTTCGGACCGGGCGGGGGTGACAGACTCGTTTTACTTGCTGTTGGCGCCCGAGCTGGTCACTTTCGCTTACAACACAAGGTGAGAGCCGACCACGTACGATTTTATTTTTATCTTTGGTTTGTTTTTTTCTGCCTCGCGCACCTCAACACGCGGCGCGCGAAGCAGTGCTTTTTTTTGCTCTTTTTTATTTCGTACGAAAACGAACCAAATCCATCGCTGTTCACAGATAGAAGAGTCCGGAAAATTTTGCTCCTCAAGGTGTTTAGTCTCCGTGGGGATTTTTTCCCACACCAGAGAATCATAGCGCTTCTCTTGTTCGCAAGGCCTATTAGTCCTCAAGTAGGGTTGCTCTGGTCCCACCTTTTTTTGCTGCCCCCCCCCCTCCCCCAGGCACATGGAAAGGCCGGGGGGGCCAACACCGCCCGATGCCGCCGGCGGCGGAGGCGGGGCCCGGAGCGTTTCCCTCTCGAGCGACCAGCAAGGCGGGCGCGGGGGCGGGGGTGGGGCCGACGACGACGGCATCGACCTCGACGGGGACGCCTTGGACCGGCCGTCGCAGGTCCCGGCGTCCGCCAAGCGGGCGGCCACCTCGGCGTCCCTCGTGAGCGGCTGGCTATTCAACGCCGCCCGGGAGACGGCGACGCCTTCGGCAGGGCCGGGCCCCGTGGGCTGCGCCTACGGGGACGACATCGCCGTGGCGCCGTCGAGCCTGCCGCGGGAGCTGGCCGGCGCGGGGGGTCCCGCCGTGCTCTTCCCGTTGCTGCAGCGGGCGCAGACGGAGGCGGCGCTGTGCTGGACGCTCCGGTTGATCCCCAGGGTGGTACGGGGGGGGGGGGCGTCGAGCGTGGGGTACATGCAGATCGGCGGCGGGTATCTAGTCCTCGCGGGGCTCCTGCGCAGCCGGAGGACCCTGCTCGGGCCGCACACCGTCCGCGCGTGCTTCGAGATGGCGGTCGATAGGGCGTACACCGGCGGCGGTGAAGACGGCGGTAAAGCAGGCAAAGAAGAAGAAGGAGGAGGTGCAGTTGACGGCGGCAACGGCCAGGACGGCGGCGGCGGCGGCGGCAGCGGTACCAGTAACGAGGATCTCCCCTGGGGGGGTACCGATACCGGCCTCGGCGACGATCCGTCCAAGGCGGTGGAGGACAGCCACAGGGCGGACGGGTGGGGCTGGGAGGAAGACATCGCTTTCATGCCTCGCGACGAGGTGCGCGCCCTCTTCAGAAAGGCGGGGATGGAAGAGGAGGAGGAAGGTCACAAGGCGGGACAGGAGGGGGCGGCACGGCGGAGCTTGAGCCCGTTCGTGCTGCTCACGGAGCCCTACGCGCTGAAGCACGTCGTCTTGAATCACCAGATTTGGGGGCTGGAGGACCGAGGGCTGATGCTGGACGTGCTCCAGCTGGTGCACTCTCTGGTCTCACCGCACAACTCGAAGGTGAGGATAGTTTCATCGGGACAGGAACATGTCTGCCGCCACTTGCTTGTGGGGAGGAGGAGGCGACTTGTAGTGTTTGTTGGTGCGCTTCGATGGACGCGGTTTGCCGAACACATGGCATGCTTTTAGCATTGTCCGTAGTACCGAGTACCGAATATGTTGGTCTGCGATAGACTCCCCAAAACCAAGCACATTGCCCTTCTACACCGTTGCTTCACAGCAGCAGCGGTGGTTGCTTGAAGTTGGTTCGAGAGGGGTTGCCATCTTCCGAATAAAGCAGCAGGCACACGTGCATCCGCTGCTGCTATACCCCAGCCTTCCGCCTCCTCCTGACCTCTTGAAAATTTGTGACCGTTTGCATAACTCTCTATATTTTCCGCCGGTCTCGGCAGCCTTACTGCCGGTTCAATGCCAGGGTGCTCCACCGCCTAGGAATTTTCCGGGCCGGGCTTCACTACCTTCTGGAGGCATCGGAGCCTCCGACGACGACCCCACTATCCTCCTCTTCTGCCGCCGACACTTCAGACGTCCCGGCAGCAGGCGCCGCCGCCGCCGCCGCAGCTAGCGACGGCGCAGGC